TGACAGGACCTGCCGCTAATGAACCCGTGTTGATTGTCCCTAAGCATAATCTCCCCTGCTGGCCCCTCGTGGATATGCGCCAGAATAATTCTCTCAAAAAGCTTGCCCAGGATTGAGGTAAGACTAACTGGCCTATAGTTTCCTGGGTACTCCTTCCTCCCCTTTTTGAAGATGGGAACCACATTGGGCCTCTTCCAGTCCTCTGGCACCACACCAGACCACCACGAGTGCTCGTACAGCCATGCCAGGGGTCCCGCAATGACCTCAGCCAATTCCCTCAGTACTCTAGGGTGGAGATCGTCCAGACCAGCTGATTTGAATACATCCAGTCCCCCCAGAAGTTCCCTAACTAGTTCCTCACTAACCCTTGGCCTAGGTATGTCTCCCCTGGGATCTAAGGGGGGCCGGGGGGGGGTGACTGTTCTGGTCCCTGCTTAGGAAAATGGAGGCAAAGAAATCATTAAATATGTTGGCTTTGTCATCTGGTGTGACGACCAAATTTCCTAGCATGTCCTGCAGGGGCCCCACATTACCTGGAACCTTCTTTTTTCCCCCTGTTTATTTAAAGAAGGACTTCTTGTTGTCCTTGATTCGGGAAGCTAGTCCCAGTTCCATCTCCGCCTTGGCCTTCCTGACTGGCCCCCTGCATCCCCGAGCAACCGTTGTATAATCCTCCCTGGTGATGGCCCCTCCCTTCCATTGGGTGTACACCTCCCTTTTAGCTAGGAGACATTCCCGGATGCTTTTGGTGAGCCATGGGGGCTTATGTGAGATGAACAGGAGACGAACCCTTGCAGGCTCTGGTTCCTGGGTCTCACACCGAGGATCCTCCCTTTCCCGGGCCCTGTTCTGGGCACCGGGGCACTTTTAGTTAAAGGCGGAGCCCCACTGTGGGGCTCCAGTCAGTTGGCCTAGGGCCGGGGCTAATTTGAGCAGCAGCAACATGCTCCCAGGGCAGATTCTCCATGTGCTGATCTGCACACCATGTGGGGCCTGAGCAGCTGCTCCCAGGGCCAGCTCTCCATGTGCCAATCTGCACACCAACTGCCCAGCTGCTTGCCAGGTTTACAGGCTCAAGCCGCCTTGAGCGGCTCCTACAGCCTGATCCCTGTGCGCCAGTTCATGCATTGCTGAATTTCAAGCAGGGTCACAAGGACAGCCATATCTGGAGCTCCTCTCTCCTTGCTGTCCCTCATCATCTCTCCACAGTGTGCTGAGCATGTTCCCCTTTTATACTCTTCAGGGGCTCCATCCCTAAAGTTATTTGGACCTTGCTGGCACAGTTCCGATTCAGGTCCAGCTGCTTCTTGCCCCCACCCTTTGGAAAAGGGTGGGGCATTGCTTCTCTTCTCTGCCTCTAGATTGGTGGGTGGGTTCCACCAATTAAACAGCAGACCCTCAATCCTGGGACTCAACCCAAGCCCCAAAAAAGTAAGCCTGCTACATTACCAAAAACCACTTGTACATCATTCGCAGTTTCCTATAAATATTTTCTTGCCAAATAAAGATGCTTTCCCTCTGGGAAGACAACTGTTAGTCTTTCTGTCAAAAAAAATCAGGAACACAATTACAATTCTGATTTCTTTCCTTCTGGGGAAATTATTGATTAGAGCTTATGGCAGAGCACCTTTGGTGCCTGCTACTTTAAGGGCCAGAGTAGACAACAGGGCAGCCAGCAGGTGCAGGCCAGCCTGATGAGATGGTTGCATGGCTTCAGGAGGGCCTTGTGATTGGAGAAGGAGGCTGAGCAGCCTCCATATTAACCCAGGTACTCAGGGCTGAGTTAGTTTGCCAGCTGCAGCCATAGAGAGAACATCACCTTGAGCTGCTGCTTGTGGAACATCCTTGGATGTAAGGGCAGGAGCTATGGGGATGGCAGGAGGCTCCTGGTGCTGGGGCATGACATAAAACTACACCCTGCTGGGGTACAATGGTGTGGTGGGTTCACTCGTGGTGAGCTGGTTCCTCGGAAATGCCAGTTGCCTCCCCAGTGAAAGTTGAGTAAGGTGTACCTTATAGCTCTGGCCCCCACGTCCTGGTGGGTTACTCAGATGTAGGGACAGGCATAGGGGCCAGGCACATCTACAGACACCTGAGCACCACAGGGTGTAAGACCCTGGAGGCCCCAGTGAGGGGGAAGATGTATGAACAGAGGTCCTCACAGAGTAGGGTGCATGGTGGCAGCTTGAAGGGCTGTGCATGGGGGGTGCAGAATAGGTTTGACTGAGGGGCTGCACAGGTGGTGTGCAAAGTAGGTTGTTTGCATAGTGGGTAGAAATGTATATGTTTCATTAGGCCAGAGTTAGGGTTAAAGTATTACATTCCTTGTAATAATGGGCACAGGAAAAGAAAGAAAATCAGGGAATTCTGTTATTCATGGTTAAGGCCTAGTTTATATATCCTTGGTTCTCATTTTTGTTCTGCTTCACTGGTGATCAGCAGTCTTTCATAAGACAATTTCCTGAATCAGAGTTACGTAAAACTAAAACCTTGTAAGTAGGGAGCAAAGTTAATGTCTCACAAAGAGTGCTACTTATCCCTTGAATCCTATTATATTCTTTGAAAAGTACATTCAATTTTCCAAGGCTGAGAAAGTGGGAGAAGAAAGAAAGAAAGGGTTTGTTTCAGATGTTATATTGAAGCCTAGTATACCTTTGAACAAAGAACTGTGTAAAAAAATATGTTCATCAAGAGATCCTTCCATGTGATATTTACTACAACAGTAAATATAAAAATTTACTACAAGTACTATAGTTAAAGCCCAAAACAGACATGGCATCACAGTAATAGATGATAAGTAATAATACTGCCAATCCTCAGCATTAAACAATCATGAACTGGGTCCTTAAAATTGTCTTAATAATCATGAGCTCAAAAGAATAGGTTGTTTTTGACTTGTATGCTGGTTTCCAAACCCTTAGGAAGCATTTAGGTCATATTTTCAAGGTTTCTTCCACAATCATGAATGCTAGACAGTTTTTCAAATGAAAGCTAAATTTGTCATGTGATCACACAAATCTGGGTCTTCAAGAAAAAAATACCCATTATAATTGTTGTTGATGGATTCAAACTTCTCTATAGAAGTAATTCATTACTTCTTCATTACAGTACCTTTTCAAGGCTACCCTGTTTTGCTGGGTACTGTACATATATAGAGTAGTAGAAGATCCCTATCCCAAAGTGTTTATAATCTAAATAGATAAGACAAATATAGTGTATTAACCCTGCGGCCCCGGAAACTGGCACAAGAACCAAGGGCGAGTTCCCACTTTTATATAGAAAAATCACAGGGGTTAGGGTCACAAGCCAGTGGGCCAAAGGGAGGGAACAGGTAAAAGGTAAAGAAACATCAACACTGTGGTAACACATTCTCAGCTTCTTAATTTCCCTCCTACACCACAGTGCCCTTGCCACCATTTTTCAGTGTGGGGATGCTGATACATGTGACGCTCCTAGTGCTTTAATTAGAGTCTCTCTCAGAGCCGCTCTAAAGTGCCCCCCAGAGAACATGTATAAATATCCTAAAGTGTTAAAACTGCAGCCTGCAAGTTTAAGCAAGTCTAAGTCCAGCTCCTTCAGTCCACATCCTGGTTGACTGAGCTAGTGAGATATTTCTAGCTCCACTGTGCACACCTCTGTAGGGCTGACCAGATTCTGCATGCATGCTGCTCTCTCTCTTACCCTTACTCTTGCCTCAGTCTTCCTCTTCCTTTTTCCCTTGCCCCACAGCCCCTGCGAGGTTGTGGGAGTTACAGCCCATATTATAGAGTCAGCACATCTCTGTAGACTGCCCCCTTGTTCCTCCTGCTGTTACACACATTACATTCACATTAGAGTAGGATGGGGGGAGGGGATAAGCCTCACCAAAAGTGTGAACAAGGTGAAGGAGAGCTGTTCCTGAGTACAATTCCAGAAAAGCCTGAAAGCTTGAAGGCGGCAGACTCTGGTGCTTCACTGGGAGGTGGGGAGGGGAGGGAGGGAAGAATCCCCCACCCCAAACACACACTAGAAACTAGGCAAACTCAAACTAGCACCAATCAGCCACCCTAAGTCACTAGCACAGAGAAAAACCTTTTCAAGGCAATCC